AGGAATTCTTCACACAGAAAAAAATCCATGGAAATTTCATTTGGGCTTCATCATTCCAGGCAAAATCCAGGAAAAATAAAAAAAAAATTGGATTTGATCTCCACCAAACCAGGAAAAATCCATAAAAAAATCAGATTTGGGCTTCATCAGACCAGGAAAATTCCTTAAAATTGGATTTGATCTTCACCACTCCAGGAAAAATCCATAAAAAATATTTTAGGGCTTCACCAAAGCAGGAAAAATCCATGAAAATTGGATTTGGGTATCAACAAACCAGGAAAAATTCCTAAAAAAAATTAATTCAGGCTCGAGCCCACGCAATGAAATCCATGGAAAAGTTTTTTGGGCTCCGGCACAATTCCCAAAATTCCTCTGGGAATTTTTGCCACTCAAAGCAAAGTTCTGGGGAAGCAGCAATGGGGTTTTCCCAAAAATTCCATAAGAATTCCATAAGAATTGATAAAAATTCCATAAAAACTCAGGAGCCAGGCTGGGAAAGTACAGGGGAAAATCCCAGATTTGGAACAGAATTCCCAGGAAAATCCCGGATTTGGAGCAGAATTCCCAGAAAAATCCCAGATTTGGAGCAGAATTCCCAGGAAAATCCCAGATTTGGAGCAGAATTCCCAGGAAAATCCCAGATTTGGAGCAGAATTCCCAGGAAAATCCCAGATTTGGAGCAGAATTCCCAGAAAATCCCAGATTTGGAGCAGAATTTTGAGGAAAATCCAGATTTTCCCATGGAAATCCTGGTTAATTATGCAGGAATTTCTCTGTTTCCTTTGGGATCAGAATTCCCAGGAATGCTCATAAACTGCTCAGGATTGATTTATTCCCAAAATTCCAGGGAATCATTTATTCCCAAAATTCCAGGGATTGATTTATTCCCAAATTTCCAGGGATTCATTTATTCCCAACTTTCCAGGGAATCATTTATTCCCAAAATTCCAGGGATAATAAATAATTCCCAGGGGTTGCTGCCTCTGGAGGTTTGGGGTCAATTTTAGGGGTTTGGGGTCAATTTTAGGGGTTTGGGGTGAATTTTAGAGATTTTGGGGACAAATTTAGGGGGTTTGGGGTCAATTTTGGGGGTTTAGGGTCAATTTTGGGGGTTTGGGGCCAATTTTGGGGGTTTGGGGTCAATTTTGGGGTTTGGGGCCAATTTTGGGGGTTTAGGGCAAATTTTGGGGGTTTAGGGTCACTCTCAGAGGGTTTAGGGCCAATTTTGGGGTTTTTGGGGCCGATTTTGGGGTTCGGGGTCCCTCTCAGGGGGTTCAGGTCCCTTCAGATTTCCCAAAGGTTTTGGGTTCCTTCATTGGGATTCTGAGCCCAGAGGGATTTGTTCCCTTCCTGAGGGATTTGGGATCCTTTCCCAGGGATTTGGGATCATTTTCCAGGGATTTGGGATTCTTTCCCAGGGATTTGGGATCCTTTCCCAGGGATTTGGGATCCTTTCCCAGGGATTTAGGGCCGTTCCCAGGGATTTGGGATCCATTCCCAGGGATCTGGGATACTGTCCCAGGGATTTAGGATCCTTCCTGAGGAATTTGGGATCCTATGCCAGGGATTTAGGGTCCTTCCAGGGATCTGGGATACTTTCCCAGGGATCTGGGATCCTTCCTGTAGGATTTAGGGTCCTTCCAGGGATCTGGGATCCTTTCCCAGGGATCTGGGATCCTTTCCCAGGGATTTGGGATCCTTCCTGTGGGATTTAGGGTCCTTCCAGGGATCTGGGATCCTTTCCCAGGGATTTAGGGTCCTTCCAGGGATCTGGGATCCTTTCCCAGGGATCTGGGATCCTTCCTGTGGGATTTAGGGTCCTTCCAGGGATCTGGGATCCTTTCCCAGGGATCTGGGATCCTTTCCCAGGGATTTAGGGCGCTTCCTGAGGGATTTAGGGCCCAAACTAGATGGAAAGGATCCCAAATCCAGC